GGCACCGTTCAGCATCGGCCGCTTCGCCACCCTCACGCTGCAGGAGCGGCGGGAGCGCGGCGGCGCCGACAAGGAGCACAAGCGCTACCACAGCCTGGGCAACATCAGCCGCGGTGGCTCGGGTGGCGGTGGCGGCGACAAGCCCAGTGGCCCGGCCCCCCGCAGCCGCCTGGATCCTGCCAAGGTGCTGGGCACTGCGCTCTGCCCTCGCATCCACGAGGTGCCGCTGCTCGAGCCACTGGTGTGCAAGAAGATCGCCCAGGAGCGGCTCACGGTCCTGCTGTTCCTGGAGGACTGCATCATCACCGCCTGCCAGGAGGGCCTCATCTGCACCTGGGCCCGGCCCGGCAGGGTGGTGAGTCCCCGCCCCTCGCGCACGCGCCCTGGCCTGTGGGGCTGGCCAGCCCCACTCAGCAGAGAGAGGGCAGGACAGCACCCCACCGGCCTCCCCGTGGGCTCTGTTCTCAACACTTGTCACTTTCTTTATGTGTGGGGGGGGAGAAATCGGGGTTCTTAGGCTACCAGGGATGAAGTGGAGCCTGGTGCCGTGGCTCTTGGACTGTGAGATCTGAATCCCCTGTGGAAAGTGAGGGTGGGAGGCTGCTGGGTCCAAGGCTATCCCTCAAGTCCTGTGCCTCAGCAGTCACCCCCTGACTGCTCACCTCTTAGGACAGGGCGCTTTTCAGGCGAGCCGCAGGGGCCCATGGAAGCCTTGGTTTGGGGAGCCCCGGGATCCTAGAACTCAGAACAGTCACAGAGCCTTGGAGGCAGGTGTGGTGGGGTTTGGGGAGAATGACTGAGACCTCCCTCTGTCTCCCTAGTTCACAGACCAGGAGGCCGAGGCCCAGGCAGGGGAAGGAAGTTGGCCCAGGTCACCCAGCGAGTCAGTGGTAGAGGTAGGACCGTCCCCAGGTTCTCTCCCATCCAGCATCTCAGGACTGCCCCCGCCAAGGCAGGAGGGGGCCCCAGTGCCCCATCTTCTCTCCACCCTCCCTGTCCCCGTCCTCTGCCCGCGACCTCCCGAGGACAGTGAGGGAGCCGCCGTGTGCTAGGGCACTAGCTGAGGGGCAGGGCCGGGCCCAGCGCAGCCTCCACGACTCTGGGCCCCCCCTGCGAAAGCCAGTGGGGCCTAACCCTGCCCATGTCTGCCTCTCATCCTCCCCAGGGGATCTCCTCCCAGTCAGGCAACTCCCCAAGTGGCACTGTGGTGTGAAGCTGTGGATGCCGGGGGTCCCCACCTGATACCCCCATTCTCCTAGCCGTGACCCTCCCCGCTGGCCTCACGGATCAACGTATTAACAAGACTAACCATGAGCGAAGGACTGCTCCAAGCCCCGGCCCTGCACACCCGTGGGGTCCCCCAGGCGGGCCCAGTGTGGGGAGAGTGGCCTCTGTAGCCTCTTCCTCGTCCCCACCCACTGCCAAGTGCAATGACCCCCCTGGTCTGAAATGTCAGTGTTGTCCCCAGCCCTGTCCCCAGCATGCGACAGGACCCTCGCGGGAGAGTCCTCGCCCACCGGAGCCCCAGCCCCACAGCAGAGGGCTGCCCCCTCCCCTTGCTGTTGTCTGTGCTTCTGAAGAGTGTTAAATCTGGGGGTCCCCCCTCCCCCGGGCCCTCCCTGTCCCCCAGGACTCTTATTTATACTAAAGTTCCCTGTTTGCACAGCGGCTCTGCTCCCTTTGGGGGGAGGAAGTGTTGGTGCTTTGGGCTGCTGGCCTAGGACCAAAGGAAGCCTTGGCCCAGCCGCCTCCCCCAGCATGGGGGCCTCCCCCAGCATGGGGCCAGGCTGAAAGGGAAAGGCGAGGCACAGGGCGCTGGGCACCAGTGGCAGAGAGCTGGGTCCTTTGAGAGATTCCCGTCCCCCAGTGAGGATCCGCCCCCAGGGGCAGCCAGGACCCCCCCCCCCCAGGGCCCTCAGCAGGCCTTGTTTAGAAAGTTGTGTGAAGTTCCCCAGCTGTCCCAAGTCTGTGATCCCAGGGGCCCCTCCAGGCGGCTCCCAGGGGAGCCCTGGAGTCCCTCCAAGCCACCTCTGTGACAGGTCTTTGTCTCTTGGTGCCCCAGCCTGGGCCTGTGGTGTCTTCCCCCTGCTTTCCCTTCCCCTCCCCTCCACCATCCCTGCAGTGTTCCTTTCTAATCCCAGTCTGGGCAGGAATGTGCTGCCCGGCCTGTGGCCAAGGAGCTATTTTAGGGTCTCCTTTTTGTTGGGGAGGGCCTGGCTCAAGCACCAGCCTGCGGCCCAAACTTTGGCCAGCAGGTCACCCCTGGCCCTGGTTCCTGAACATGACCCCCTCCCAATCCCCAGCCCAGACCGGATCCCAGCCCCCACCCCTCCCTTCCCACCTCCTGCCAAAGAAAAAGTGAGTGTAAAGTCAGGGGCCCTGGGTAAACGGAACTGCCCCAAAGTGGATGGGTGCTGAGTCACAGAGAAGCGGCCCTGGCCTCCATCCCCTGCCCAGGCGCAGCCCCTTCCCCCAGTGCCCGGCCGAGTGGGTGGTTGGGTAGTCCCTAGATCACCCTGCGGGCAGCGGAAAGGCTCTGATCTCACACCTATGGCTCCCAGCACTGCATCTTCCTTTTTTGGGGGGGCGGGGGGAACTGCTGGTGTGAGAGTTGAGATTCTCTGGGCTCTGGTACTAAAGAGTTCTGGGGAGCCCTGGAAGGAGGGAGTAGTTGGGGTGGGGGGACTGGCTTGTGAGGAGTTAAAGCTGAGAGGCAGGAGGGGGGCCGGACCAAGGGGTGGGGAGAAGAGGAGGAGGCCTCAGCCACTGAGAGAAGTGGCCAGAGAGGCCCCAGGAACAGCTAGGGACAGGCAGACATGTGGCCTGGGTTCCGGGACGTGGACGCGGGCTGCCAGGCCCTGTGACCGGAGGACCCCGAGCCCCGGCCGGGGAAGGGGCCATGGTGCAGCCTGGCCGACATGTCAGCCGAAGTGCGGCTGAAGCGGCTCCAACAGCTGGTGCTGGACCCCGGCTTCCTGGGGCTGGAGCCCCTGCTCGACCTTCTCCTGGGCGTCCACCAGGAGCTGGGCGCCTCAGAGCTGGCCCAGGACAAGTACGTGGTGGACTTCCTGCGGTGGGGTAAGTGTCCTTCCGCAGGGGCTGCCTGGGCAGGGGGCAGGGGCAGGACCCGGAAACAGGGAGGGAGGGCAGGATGGATGCCCACAGGTTTCTCTATGGGGGGGGGACCTGGGTGCTGGGGCAGAGTGGGAGCCTGTCATCAGTAGTGGGACAAGAAGGTCAACAGGAGAGGCCAAGGGGACCCATGACTCAGCCATGGCTGCCTAGGCAGGGCACAGCCTGCCCTTAATCTTCAGACTCTTTCCCCTGCCATGGGCTCGAAGCCCCCTACCCTAGCTTCCCAGGGTGTGCGGAAGCGGGAGGGGCAGCACGGGCAGCTGCCAGGGGCGTGGCTGGCAGGCAGGTGTTGGGCGCCAGCCTCTCCAGAACCCTGACAGGTGTCCAGGGAGGGCCGGTGAGTCACTGAGGCCCTGGGAGGGGGGAAGCAGCCCGGCACACAGGCGCCACCCAGCACCCTCTGTGCCCGCCACCGCTCGGGGTCTGGGTGTGTCCACTCTGCAGGGTCCTTGCCACTTCCCCTCCCCCAACACCAGCCGCTCCCTCCCAGTTCTCCAGCCCCAGCTGTCCTACAAAGCCCCTTGGCCCAGAGGTCTTTCCAGGCCTTTGGCACTGGCTGCCTCAAAGCCAGCCTCATGCCCGCCCTGCCCACACCCAGCCCCTGCCCACTCTAGTTTGTGACTCTGGCACCCTGGCGCTCTCTGCTTGTCCCTCATCGTCTGCCTCTTGGTTCTTGGCCTGTATGTCCCTGTCTGTCTTCATTGGGCACTGTGTCTGGTCCCCAACTTTCCCCGTTCCCTCTTGTCTCTTTTCTGATCCAGACCCAATCCTCTCCCATTTTAAAGATGGGAAAGTAGACGCCACAGGCCAGGCTCACTGGGCCTCAGTGACTCTCCTAGGCCCCCCCCCTTTTTGCAGATGGGCCTGGGCTGGCAGGGTAAACTGAGACCTGGGGTGGGAGCGTGGGTCTGCCTGTCCTGCCAGGAGCAGTCCTTTTGTGGCCTGGGCTGCATCCTGGGGCCCTCCCCTGCTAGGCCTTGGGGCGGGGGAGGGGGCCTGGGCTCCTGCTGCCTTAAAAGGGCTGGGTGTCTTGGCTCTCTCCTCCCTCCCCCATCCTTGGCCCTGAGTAGTTCTTCGTTGGCCTCTCAGTCTCCCTGAACCCCTCTCCCCTCCAGAACCCACTAGAACCCTCTTTTCCTGTTCATACCCATCCCTCCTCTATGCTGTCTCCCAGGTCCAGGCTTCTTCCACTCCGGGAGGCAAAGCCTCTCTCCCCTGCTCCCCCAGTGTCCAGCATCACCCCCAGCTAGCTGTAGGACCTCAGCCTTGAACTGTGATTGCCAGCTGCAAAACACCCTCCTGCCTCCCTCAGGAGACTGAGGCCACACCCTCCACAAACGCTCCGGGTGTGCATCCTTGGCGGTCCCCTGGGCTGGTCCTCTTCCCCTTCTCCCAGCCTGTGACACCATAGGACCACAGTGTGGTTCTGGGCCACAGCACAAAACACTGAGAGCTCTGCGGCTCTCACTGAGGGCTGGGGCTCAGGCCGTCTCCCTCTGTTCTTCAGCACCGTACGCTCTGCAGGCATTTGTTATCCTTGCCATCCAGCGTCCTCCCAGCCCAGAGTGGCCCTCAAAAGGGTTGCTCCTCCAGAGGGCGGGGTGCGATTCCCAAAACTTCACGTGCTGTGTACGTTGGCAGAGTCCCGGAGCCCAGGAAGTGTGTGGAGAAGCGGGGAGATAGGGGTGGGCTGTCCGCTGCCGGGTTCTCACTGGCCCTCCTCCCCGGCCACCCTCAGCGGAGCCCATTGCGGCGAGGCTTAAGGAGGTCCGGCTGCAGAGGGATGACTTTGAGATTCTGAAGGTGATCGGGCGCGGGGCGTTCAGCGAGGTGAGTCCCGGGGCGGCTGCAACCCGGACTTGACTTGGGGTGGGCGGGGCGTGGGAGCCAGGCCGAGCCATAGAAATTGATGAATGAGCGGGAACCTGGGATTGGGTGGGAACGGGGGCGGGGCTGAGGCCGGGGGCGGGGCCGGGTCCCAATGGGCGGCTGTTGTGGTTTCCCCTACGCCTGCCTCCGCTGTTGCCACCCTGCTTTGGCCTTTCAGGTAGCGGTGGTGAAGATGAGGCAGACGGGTCAGGTGTATGCCATGAAGATCATGAATAAATGGGACATGCTGAAGAGGGGCGAGGTGAGGGCCGGGGCCGGGCCGGCCTGGGGGGGCTGGGACGTGCGCCCCCTCCCGGCTCAGCCCCTCGGCTCTCCGGGTTGTCGGCGCAGGTGTCATGCTTCCGGGAAGAGCGGGATGTGTTGGTGAACGGGGACCGGCGCTGGATCACACAGCTGCACTTCGCCTTCCAGGACGAGAACTACCTGGTGAGGGTCGCCGCGACCTGGAAGGGCCGGTCTCCCAGGCCCCAGCTGACCTCCACCGTTCTTTTCCTGCTCTTGCCTGGCCGAGGTAGCTCTCGGGAAGGCCTCTGCCGCAGGAGAACCTGGGATCTCTCCTCTGGGGTCTTTTAGTTCCCGAATGTCGGGGATGGGGTGAGAGGGGAGTAACATTTTGGGAGAAGCGATCGTGGCGCCTGGGCAGGGCTGCTGACCCCAGGACCCCCCTCCCAGTACCTGGTCATGGAGTACTACGTGGGTGGGGACCTGCTAACGCTGCTGAGCAAGTTTGGGGAGCGGATCCCAGCCGAGATGGCGCGCTTCTACCTTGCGGAGATCGTCATGGCCATAGACTCGGTGCACCGGCTGGGCTATGTGCACAGGTGGGCGGCACGGACAGGCGCAGGCGAGCTGCGTGCGCTGCTGGGCGTGGCTGAGCGAAAGGGGCGTGGCCAGAGGGGGCGGGGACTACCTGGGAGGTTGGTTAGAGGGATCCTGTTGGCTGGGGCTCACTAGGCGTGCCTGGGGGAGATCTAGAGTAGCCGGACCCCTGGTGGGGGCGGGCTGAGCGGCTCTGCCCTTTGGGACCGGCCTCCTCTCCGCCCTCCTCTCTCCCCTCAGGGACATAAAACCCGACAACATCTTACTGGACCGATGTGGCCACATTCGACTGGCTGACTTCGGCTCCTGTCTCAAGCTGCGGGCGGATGGAACGGTGAGCAGTGAGGGGGTGGGCGCCCAGGAGGCAGCCCTGCCCCCCCCCCCCCGTGAGGACTCGGTGGAACCCGGGCAGGGGCTGAGCGTCTGGGTCCTGCGCATGCAGGTGAGGTCGCTGGTCGCCGTGGGCACTCCAGACTACCTGTCCCCCGAGATTCTGCAAGCCGTGGGAGGCGCGCCGGGGACTGGCAGCTATGGGCCTGAATGTGACTGGTGGGCACTGGGTGTGTTTGCCTATGAAATGTTCTATGGGCAGACGCCCTTCTATGCCGATTCCACGGCAGAGACCTATGGCAAGATCGTCCACTACAAGGTGAGCGCCTGTGTCCAAGAGTCCTCGGTGCCCTTGCACGGGATGGCCAGGCCCTCACCACCTCCTCCCTCGTGCAGGAGCACCTGTCTCTGCCACTGGCTGACACAGGCGTCCCCGAGGAGGCCCGAGACCTCATCCAGGGGCTGCTGTGCCCCGCTGAGGTCCGGCTAGGCCGGGGTGGAGCAGATGACTTCCGCAAGCATCCTTTCTTCTTTGGCCTGGATTGGGAGGGGCTTGGGGACAGCGTGCCGCCCTTCACACCGGACTTTGAGGGTGCCACAGACACGTGCAACTTCGACGTGGTGGAGGATGGGCTCACTGCCATGGTGAGCGGGGGAGGGGTACGTACCTACAGTCCCACCCACTCTGGGGGAGCCACTGTTCTCTTCTTAAAGCCGGCGCAATGACTTCTGGGCATCTTGGATCATTCTTATTCTAGTGAGCCTGTTGAGGCCCCACTGGAGACCTGGACTTAGCATCCTGGTCCCCTGTTAAGGAGGCCTCACTGTGACAAAGGCTGGTAGGGCAGAGTATAGCACTGAAGGCTTTCCTGGGGAGGGGGGTGTCTAAGTTGAGAGAGCCACTTCTCTCTCCCTTATGCTGTCCTGGTGCTCACCTGTCCCTGCCCTGCCACACCTACAGAAGAGAGAAATTACAGCCTAGCAGAGGCCATTTTAGATAAACCTTGTGTTGGGCTAGGCTTGGGAGGGACATGAGACATGATGGGAAGGAGTGAGGGCCCAGCCCAGACAAACACTGGTCACACCTGTGCCTCTCTTATGAAGGAGACGCTGTCAGACATGCAGGAAGGCATGCCACTGGGTGTCCACCTGCCTTTTGTGGGCTACTCCTACTCGTACATGGCCCTCAGGTAAGTGCACCCATAGGGCTGGAGGGAACAGAGGCTCTGGGAGGGCTACCAGGGTGCAGTTAGTTTGCAAGATCAGTCTTAGGACCCAGAAGGCTTAGGATCCCATCAGTAGACTCGGTGTAAAACACGAGAGCCTTGTCTGAGCCTTCCAGTCACTGTCTATTTATAGTGTCATGGCATTCTGAATCTTAGAAGATTTGAATTTTGTAATGAATTTGTGTGTGTGTATGTTGGTCCTGGAGCTTGAACTTGGGGACTTGGGTGCTGTCCTTGAGCTTTTTCTTTTTGTTCAAGGGTAGCACTCTGCCACTTTGAGCCACAACTCCACTTTCAGCTTTTTGAAGGGTCAGTGGAGATGAGAGTCTCACAGACTTTCCTGTCCAGGCTGGATTTGAATGGAGATCCTCACATCTTAGCCTCCTGATTAGCTAGGATTATGGTGTGAGCCACCTGTGCCCAGGCTGTAAGGAATTTTAACAGAACATAAACCTCATCCAGTCACTTGTGTAACAATAAAGCTTTTTAAGATCATCTGCCTTACAAATATGACCATGCTTCTCCAAGTAAATTAGAAAACAGGCATCAAGGTTGGAGGTGTGGTTCAAGGGTAGAGCATCTGCCTAGATGCCCAGGACACTTAGTTCAAGCCCCACTACCATCAAGAAAAAGAATGGGTTGAAGCAAAATAAGGACTCCTGGGTGCCTCCAGCAGCTGGCTCCTGGCTCACACAGGGCAAGTGCAGCTCTTGTCTTCCTGAGCTCGTGCTGGTGCCAGCAGCCAGGTACCTCCTCCCTTCAGGCCAGGTCATCTCAGAACCGGTCCTGAGACGTCTCCCAGGAGGGACTGATGGGTTGGCAGACCCCCAGTGAAGGCAGGTGGGAAGTGTGAGGGTGATTTGGTATCTAGAGGCTGCTCTCAAGAGTGGATCACATCTGGGGGGGGGGTCCTTAGAGCTGGGTGAGATCACTCTTGCTGGGTCTCCTGCCTATTCTGAGGCCCTAAAGAAAGAGGTTGTTGAGGAAATGGACATACCCGAGAACCAGGTGTCTGAAGGATCCGAAAAGGCAACCTCCCCCGCCACCCCTGGGCCTGGGGTAATGGGAGGGACAAGGCCTCCTTTCTCTATATAGAGCTGGACTTGGCAATTGTTTTCCTTAACTTGGTGAAGCATGGGAGCTTGCTTGGGGCACTGCTCCTGTGTCCAGGCTAGGGAGACCCCATTGGCAGCCACTCCTTCCCCTCTCCCAAGAGATAATGAGATCCCAGACTCCATACCCATGGAACTGGAGGAGGCCCAGCAGTTGCCTGAGCCACAGGTGCGAATGCCTAGCGAGGAGCCCACCCTGCCCCCTGCAGTGTCCCCACCCCAGGAACTGGTGAGTAGCAGATGGGAGCCGAGTGGTCAGGTTTCCCTGGGGATGCAAGTGGGCAGCACCAAGGCCCCCACCCCGGGCCCTGGCACAGGGCAGAGAGTCCCTGTGAGAAATCAGAAGAGGCCACTGTAGCACTGGTTTCTTAAAATCCACAGGACGTTTCCTCCAAGGCCGGCCAGGGGGAGGAGGGGAGGCTGCAGACAGCAAGAAACAAACCATGCACCTTCTGCAGGAGCAGGCCTGGTCCTGAGCACTTAGCCAGAGCTGGAGGAGTCTCGAGGGGGAAGGGCAGTGGTTGGGCTGAGTTTTAGGAATAGATCACGGGTTCCCATGAGCCCCAGGGCCGGAACCCAGAGGGGGTGCACAACTCCAGTGCTACAGCCTGAGCTCTGTCTCCCCCCACCCCCAGGCTGAAGCGGCCCTGTCTGTGGCTGCCCCTGCGGCTGTGGCCGAGTCCGAGAGCGAGGTGACACTGCGAGAGCTCCAGGAGGCCCTGGAGAAGGAGGTGCTCACGCGGCAGAGCCTGAGCCGCGAGCTGGAGGCCATCCGAACGGCCAACCAGAACTTTGCCAGGTTGGGTCAGGGCCCGGGCCCCGGCGCCTGCTGGCAGCCCCCAGCGGGTCACCCGCGGGCCTCACCCTCCCGATCTTTTCCCCAGTCAATTGCAGGAAGCCGAGGCTCAGAACCGGGAGCTGGAGGCGCGCGTGCGGCAACTGCAGGAGCGGATGGAGCTGCTACAGGCCCAGGGAGCCACAGGCGAGTCCCGCCTTCCCCGAGGGCTTGGGGCGGAGGAGGGGGCGCAGGCTGAGTGTGGGCCCCCGGGGGAGAGGGCCCAGGCTGGGGCACACCGCGCCACCGCCCTGCCCGCCCTCCACGCGCCATACGCCTCTCTCTTCTCCTTCCAGCTGTCACGGGGGTCCCCAGTCCCCGGGCCACGGATCCACCTTCCCATGTAAGACCCCTGCCTTCCCTTGCCTGCTCCTCCCTTCCCTCTCCCCATCCTACTTCTTTAAGATTCCAGAAGGCAGACGTCTTTCACGGTGCACCACCACGTTTGCCAGTTCTGCCCTGGTGCAGACCTCGCACTAAATCCCTCTCAGCGATCCCCCGAGATTCCCTCCCCGCCCTCCCCCCCTTCTCTGCCTCTTGTCCACCGCTGCGGGCGGCCGGGCTGGGCTCCGATCGGGTCACCTGTCCCTTCTCTCTCCAGCTAGATGGCCCCCCGGCCGTGGCTCTGGGCCAGTGCCCGCTGGTGGGGCCGGGCCCCCTGCACCGCCGCCACCTGCTGTTCCCTGCCCGGGTACGTCCCACGCCCCCCCCTCCCTGCGCGCAGCCCACCCCGCGCCACCGCCGCTTAGCTGTGCTTCAATTCTGGCTCCGCCCACCACAGGGAGGGAGGAGGCTGGGGCAGCCAATCAGAACGGGGCTCTAGGTCGCAGCCAATGACGAGCTCCGGTAGGATCGCGAGCAGACCAAACGGAGCTGCTCGCGGTGGGAGGCGGGGCAGGTCCAGAGCAGAGCCATCTAAGGGGCCCGGGCCTGGCGAGTGCTCATCCCGCCCTTCTCCCCTCCCCTCCCCTCCCCCCCGCAGGTCCCTAGGCCTGGCCTACCGGAGGCGCGTGGCCTGCTCCTGCTCGCCGCTGCTGTGGCTTGTGCCGCCGCCCTGGGCCGCACTGGGTTGGTGGCCCGCACCAGCCTTCTCGCCCCCATCTGGCTTCCCCCGGGAGCCTCCTTCGCCCCCTGAGCCCTAGAGCCCCAGACAAGCCCCCCCGCCCCACATTTGGGCCAATGCACAGCCCTGAAGCGTCCACACAGCAGCCCGTCTGGGTCTTGGCCCAGCTCCGATCCTGTGATCCGTGCCCGCCCCCTGGCGGCCGGGGAGGGAGGAGCCGTGGCTGTGGGAGGAGCACCGGGCTCTGGGGCGGGGTTATGGCCTCAGCCGCTGCGGGGGGCGGGGGCGTCGCCCACTTCTTCGCTGATCCCTGACGTGGATGCGGCCCTACGAAGGCAGCAGGCCAGGGTTCGGCCATCCGATTTTCACCCTCCCCGCACCCACCCGCCAGCGGCTGGCAAAACTGGCGTTACGAATCCTTGTTCCCTGGGGCAAACGTTCGGCACGACCTCTGCCGGCTCTGCAGGGAGCCTTTGCTTTGACTAGCCCAGCTTTTTCGAGGATTCCGGCGTTCCTCCCCCCTCCCCTTCCTTCTCACGTGCGCTGCTCTGGGAGCCGCAGTTGGCTCCGCCCGCCTCGGTGGTTGGGGTATCTATTGACCTTGTCCTCCGACTGGCTGACAGGCTCCAGGACCCCAGCACCAAATCCACGTTTTGGAGGCACTGAGACTCGACATTCCTCGGTATTTATTATCTGTCCCCCACCTAGAACCCCACCCCCTGCCCGGCGAATAAAAGACCCCTCTTCTCTGCCCGAAGCTCGGGATTCTTTTGAGTTCGCTCTGAAAACGTGGGGGGGGGGGAGGAAGCTGCCCAGTGGGCCAATCAGGAGGCGAGTGAGTGCGGCCAATGGCTTGGCGAGAAGCTAGCTGGGCGGAAAGCGGTCGAATCAGACTGGGGGGGAGGGACGGTGAGGGGCGGGGCTTTGGAATCCAGCCAATAGGGGAGGGGGAGCGAGTCAGCAGGAGGCACCGCCCCCACCCAGCTGTAGCCCAGCTGTGCGGGCCCAGCCTGGAAAAAGGGGGCTGGGCCAGCAGCCCGCGCGGCCGTCCCCTGCCTTCCACTGCGCCTGTGCGGGCCACGCGCATCCGCTCCCGGGACAGAGACCCAAGAAAAGTTGCTGCAAACTTTCTGGCTCATTTCCCCGCTCCTCCTCCCTGCTAGGCCCGCCCCCCTGCGGAGCCGGGAATTCCGAGGGGCGGAGCGCGCGCCGAGATGCGGAGTGGGGGGGCCTGCCGTGGACCCCGGAGGCGGAGGCCTGCAAGAGCTGTTTCGGGGCAGAGGCGGCTTCGCGCCCTTGGCCCTCCTGGGCGGCCCGTTACCTTCTCCGTTGTCCCGATGGGGAAACTGAGGCTCTGAGCCCGAAGCACACGCGGGAAGCGGGGGGTGGCTGGAGGGGGAGGCAAAAAGCGCGGCCAGAGCGGAGGGAAAACAAAGGGAGAATCCCGGACAGACGGGGCGGGGGACGGACACTCAACAGGGACCGAGACCCTAGTGGAGAGTTGGGTCTGGCACGGGGTGGGGGGCAGCGAAACGATCTGGAAGGGCGTGGGGGGGGGCGGAGGAGGGGGACAGGCGGGGGAGGGGTCTGGGGAAAGCCCGAGGGAGGCGGAGAAGGAGGGAGGAACTTCCCAAAGTTGCAAAACATGGCTACCTTGCCTGCCGAGCCGAGTGCGGGGCCGGCGGCTGCAGCCGAGGAGGAGGAGGACGAGGACGAGGACGAGGCGCGCCAGCTCCTGCAGACTTTGCAAGCGGCCGAGGGTGAGGCGGCGGCGGCGGCAGCAGCCGGGGCCGGGGCGGGCGAAGCGACGGCGGGAACGGAGAACTCGGGGTCCCCAGGTATCCCCGGATCGTCCCCGCAGGAGGCCGCCGCCGCCGCTGAGCCGTCCACGGGCCTCCGCTTCTCGCCCGAGCAGGTGGCGTGCGTGTGCGAGGCGCTGCTCCAGGCGGGCCACGCCGGCCGCCTGAGCCGCTTCCTGGGCGCTCTGCCCCCGGCCGAGCGCCTACGTGGCAGCGATCCGGTGGTGCGCGCGCGGGCCCTGGTGGCTTTCCAGCGGGGCGAGTACGCCGAGCTCTACCGGCTGCTCGAGAGCCGCCCGTTCCCCGCCGCGCACCACGCCTTCCTGCAGGACCTCTACCTGCGCGCGCGCTACCACGAGGCCGAGCGCGCCCGCGGCCGGGCGCTGGGCGCCGTGGACAAGTACCGGCTGCGGAAGAAGTTCCCGCTGCCCAAGACCATCTGGGACGGCGAGGAGACGGTGTACTGCTTCAAGGAGCGCTCGCGCGCCGCGCTCAAGGCCTGCTACCGCGGCAACCGCTACCCCACGCCCGACGAGAAGCGCCGCCTGGCCGCGCTCACCGGCCTCTCGCTCACGCAGGTCAGCAACTGGTTCAAGAACCGGCGGCAGCGCGATCGCACCGGGGCGGCCGGCGGCGCGCCCTGCAAAAGGTGAGCGGGGAGAGTCTCCCCCCCCCCGAGGGGGTCCCCTCCCCCCCGCCGCGGCCTCCCCCCCCCCAGAACCCCATCCATGGGGGGGGCTGAGGGGCGTCGGTCCTTCCCTCCGTGGGTAGAGGCTGGGTGGTTTTTTCTTAGTGGTGAAGGGGAGCCCCCATGTTCCCTGTCCGGTACTCTCTCCCACGCCCCCCCCTCCTGCGCCCCTGCGGGTGCGGGTACCAACAGCGTGGTCGGTCGCCTGCCTTTGTTGTGAAACGTGAACCTTCCCCGGCTCCGGTTTCCCTGTAACCCAAGCCCTTCCCCTCCCACCCCGAGGCCCGGCCTCTCGCTCCCCTGCCCTGACGTCGCCCCCTTGGGGAGGAAAAGGACGCGAGGACCGAGCTGGCCAGCAACCTCTTGGCTCTCCCGGGGTCCCCAGGGGAACCGGGGGACTTGGGGCAGAGCCTGGGTGGCGCGGCCAGAGGCCAAAGCAACCTCAGGAGAGAAAGCAAGGCAGAGCCTCTCCTTCGCTGCCCTTTGCCCCAGCTCCAGCCTCCCCGCCCCGGTGTCCACCATCCGCCGGACTTGCAAAGGCCCTGGGGTCCCCGGCCTGATATGGAAGCTTGGGGTAGTGGACAGTCTCTGTGCCCCCCTCCCGCACCCCCCCTCCCCTCCTCCAGGACCACCAGTCACGAGCCTTTCTCCCCACAGCGAGTCTGATGGGAACCCCACCACCGAGGACGAATCCAGCCGCAGTCCTGAGAACCCGGACAGGGGCGTGGCCCCCGCAGCCGCCGAGGCCCCCACCCAGAACTCCATCTTCCTGACTGGGGCCAGCCCCCCCACTGCCGGCGCCCCCTCCTCCATCTTGGTGAACGGGGGCTTCCTGGCGGCCGCGGCGGGCAGCTCTCCGGCCGTGCTCCTCAACGGCAGCCCGGTCATCATCAACAGCCTGGCCCTGGGTGAAGCCTCAGGCCTGGGCCCCCTGCTGCTCACCCCTCCCCCGCAGCCCAGTGCCCAGGGTGCCAGCCAGCCCAAGGCTGCCCTGGTCTTGGACCCTCAGACTGGAGAGGTTCGGCTGGAGGAACCCCAACCTGAAGCCCCCGAGACCAAAGGGGCTCAGGCGGCTGCTTCGGGACCAGCCGGAGAGGAGGCCCCGGGGTCCCTGCCCCAAGTGGTGCCCGGACCCCTCCCGGCTGCCACTTTCCCTCTGCCCCCAGGGCCGGTGCCCACCGTGGCTGCCCCCCAGGTAGTGCCACTCTCCCCATCCCCCGGCTACCCTGCAAGCCTGGGCCCCACCTCTCAGCTGCTAAACCTGCCCCAGGTGGTGCCCACCTCCCAGGTGGTGACCCTGCCCCAGGCCGTGGGTCCGCTGCAGCTGCTGGCAGCCGGGCCTGGCAGCCCCGTGAAGGTGGCAGCCACAGCCGGCCCTGCCAACGTGCACCTCCTCAACTCCGGGGTGGGCGTCCCCACCCTGCAGCTTCCCACTGCCACGGCCCCAGGTACCTCCTGCTGCCCTTGGTGGGGGGGATTGGGGGAGGGAGTGGCTCACCCCCTCCTTCTCCCTGGGACCCCAAGGCTCTAGCCAGACTCTTCTCCCCTGCACCTCCAGGGGATTTTTTTTTGGGGGGGATCTGTAGTGGGCCTTGAACTCAGCCTCTGGGCACTGTTCCTGAGCCACAGCTCCACTTCCACTGGAGATAAGAGTCACCTGGGGGCTGGGAAGGTGGCTCAGTGGTAGAGTGTTTGCCTTGCATGCATGAGGCCCTGGGTTCGATTCCTTAGCATCACATAAACAGAAAAAGCCAGAAGTGGCGCTGTGGCTCCAGTGGTAGAGCACTAGCCTTGAGCTGAAGAGCTGAGGGACAGCGCCCAGGCCCAGAGTTCAAGCCCCATGACTGACAAAAAAAAAAGTCTCCTGGCTTTGCACGCCCAGGTTGGCTTTCAGCTGCAGTCCTCAGATCTCAGCTTCCTGAGTGGCTGGGACTACAGGCATGAGCCACCGGCACTGGGCTTCCAGGGGCTTTATTGTTCCGACTCTAACCAGCTCCTCTCCTCTTCCCCCCCAGGCAACTTCCTGCTGGCCAACCCTGTGTCCGGCAGCCCCATCGTCACCGGGGTGGCCGTGCAGCAGGGCAAGATCATCCTCACTGCCACCTTCCCCACCAGCATGCTGGTCTCCCAGGTCCTGCCCCTGAAGCCAGAGTCTGCCATCTCCGTCCCCGAGGGAGCCCTCCCGGTGGCCCCCAGCCCAGCCCTCCCAGAGCCCCATGCACTGGGCACACTATCCCTGCAGGCCCCGCCGCCGCCGGGCACGGCCACCCCCGCCACCGCCACCACCACTGCCGGCCTGCCCTTCTCCCCAGACTCGGCCAGCCTTCTGCCTGGCTTCCCTGCACCCCCGCCGGAAGGGCTGATGCTGTCGCCCGCTGCCGTGCCCACCGTGCCTACCGTGCCTGTGTGGCCGGCAGGGCTGGAGCTGAGCACGGGCGCCGAGGGGCTGCTGGACGCGGACAAGGGGCTGGGCACGGGTGCCCACCCTGTGCTCCGGATGGCCGAGCCCGGCGCGCTGCTCCTGGGGGCCTCGGCAGGGGCTGAGGTGGAGGAGGGGATGGAGGCCGAGGCCAAGGTGCTGACCCAGCTGCAGTCTGTGCCTGTGGAGGAGCCGCTGGAGCTGTGACCTGCTGGCCACCGTGGCTGCTCCTGACAATGGTGCTCAAGACACGGGGACCCCCCCCAGAGACGCCCTGTCTCCAAGCATGGAGGTGCAGGGTGGTGGGAACCCATTATGCTGGCCCCAGCTATATGGGGGAGCCTCCTGAATTGAGGCTCTGCCTCCCCCCCCTCTACCTGGAACCAGCTGGGAATGAAAGACCCTGCCTGAGGCTGCCTCTCCAGGCCTCGGAGCCCGGGCCTCCCGGACTCCATTAATAATTCCACCGATTGCCGGCATTCTCAGAACTGCGTGGAACCTGCACACGGAAGACAGCTCCCGGCGGGAGAAAAGCTAGTCTGTGAGGTGGAAGGGGGGTTCACCCCACCCCTGCACCTGAACTCAAATCTACATCCTCACCTCTAGCCCCAGACCAAAGATTTACTCTCATCCCGGGGCACCCCTGACCGTGTCTAGTTTGTATCCTAAAATCTTTATTTTTCTAGGTCCGTGTTATGCTTCCATCTCAATTAAAATAGTTAACAGACAATAGGACTGGCCAGGGTGTGGGTTATCTGCCTGCCCAGCGGCTCATCACAGAACTAGAGGACCCAAAAGAGAACAAGAAGACTGAGCCTGCCTTCCTGGGGCCGGGGAAGAGGCTAGAATTCAGGCCTCAACTTTAAACAATAGGCCCTGGGACCTGAGGCCTTACAAGTTTTGCGGGGAACCACCTATAAAGAACATCAGAGGAGGGGGTGCATAAACAGGGATGCAATCATTTGATTCTGGGTGGGGGGTGGAACTCCTTAGTTCAGAACTCTTCCATGTGTGCGAATGGCAGCCTGTCAAGCCTTGGGGCTCAGAATTAACACTGGGTGGGGAGGCAACCCACAGCAGCTTTGGGACCAGCCTAGCCCTGGCTCCTGCGGTAGGGGAAACAGGCTCGGTGTGGGGGGGAGGCCACTCACTGGTGGCCAGGCTTGGGTGGTGAGGTGGGCTCCGGGGGCACGCATGCACGCTGGGCCAGCAGCTGGTAGAAGGGCTTGGGCATCTCCCAGTCCTCGTCGTCCTCGCTGCTGGAGTTCTCCTGCTTCACCACGCGGTTGTGCTGCCGGCTGAACCTGCGTGCCTTGGTGCTGGGAAAGATGGGGTATCCTTACTCTCCCACCATCCCCGCCTCCCCACAGTCTCTGTCCCCAGAAGTGACCAGGCCAGGGTTTGCCAGAGCCAAATCTGGGAATTAGCCACAGGCCCTTTGCATATGCTTGAGGGCTGGGGGGGGGGGGCAGCTTGGAAATTGGGGAGAAGACCAGAATTTCAGGGAAGAGGAGAACACGCAACAGCAAAATAAAACTGGGGTCTGAGAGACTCCATGCAGTGCACAGACAGAAGAAAGGAAGCCAGCAAGGGGAGCCTTCTTCCCATAAATTCTTCACCCAAGACATTTATGACCTGTCTTCCCATGATTCTGAGCATTGCTGGGGTTACCTAGGGTCAGGGCAGCCTGCCCCCTGCCCCAACCACACCAGGATTTCTCACCAGTATGGCCTACGCTCTTTCAGGGACATCATGCGCCACAGCTGGGCCAGCTCCTTGGTGGCGGCGGTGGACGCGGTTCCAGGGCAGGCTCTGAGACAAGGGGGGAAGGAGGTGACACAAAGCCCGTGGGGCAGCCCAGCTCCCGCAGAGGCCGAGACCCAGCCACACAAGGGACTCTGGCCTCCTGGCGCTTTCATGTGGTCTGAGCTCTCAGATCCCAGCTAAAGTGCCATCCGGCGAAGCCCTTTACACCCCCGAAGTGAAGGTCATGAGACCGCCTGAGTCCTCCCCAAAGGAGCACCCCATGTCCCAGGAGAGGGGAGAGGACCTGAAGCTACCACTCCTCAGATGTTTCTGTGGATATTCCTAGAAGAAAACCACGTGTTCTCAGCTCCCCAGGCTCTGGCATCCAGTTCTGTGTGTGTGTGTGTGTGTGTGTGTGTGTACACTCACCAGTCATGGGGCTTGAACTCAGGGCCTGGGCACTGTCCCCGAGCTTTTTTGCTCAAGGCTAGCGCTCTACCACTTGAACCACACCTCCATGTCTGGCTTTATTGATGGTAGAGATGAGAGTCTCATGGACTTCCTTACTCAGGCTGGCTTTGAGCTGGGATATTACCATCCTAACCTCCCTGAGCAGCTAGAATGACAGCTGCGAGGCCCGTGGTGCTCAAGCTAGCTGGCACCCAACTTTCCAAAGCCAAACCCAAGAATGTGTCCTTGGAAGGTCAGAGCGGAGGCTGCCAGGGTGACAGATGGATGGGGGACTCGACCCCCTGGCCAGGCCCAGCCCTGTCCAGCATGCTGGAGAAGGAAGCAGTTGATTGAGAGGGACAAAGATCACCAGCAACATCGTTCTAGCTTGGGACTGACAGTGACAGCAGGCAGCCACCCCAGCCTCTTCCTTTGTGGCCATGTTAGCCAGCATGTTCTTTTAGCTCAAGAATTCACACACACACACAGAAAGGCCCTGGGGGTGTGTGGGGGAGGCACAACTCTACAGGGCAGTGGGCTCTAGGAAGAGTCAAATAAGTCTCCCAGCAATGGGGCCATGTATTTGGGGGGGGGTGTCCCAAGGCCCCCACCCACCCACCGGATATACTGCTTCCGGTTCATCCTGCAGAACATGATGAAGCCGTTGACACACTTTTTCTTCGCCTGGGCTGGGCAGGGCGCTTTCTTGTTCTCTTTGGGTCTCCCGGGGACCCTGTGGGCCCGGTTCTTCTTGGCCGTCCTCCTGCCCCAGGGAGGGTTCAAGGCCTGCCTGGAAGGGGTCCAGGCGCAGTCATCCTCGTTACTGGAGGACTGCATGCCCTCGGGGTCGGCCTGCAAGTCCTGGGCAGGAGAGAGAGATAAGCAGGGGCTCGAGACACCTGCTCACCTTCCAAGGCTGGCCGCCCCTCTCACCTCTTCCTGCTCCCACATGGATTCCGTATCCGTGGCCGTGTCCTCAGAAGTAGATCCGGACGACGTCTCGCTGCTGTCACTCAGTGAGAGGTAGCATTGGTCTGGGGGGGTGCAGGGCCAGCTCTGGCTGGAGGAACCAGGAAACTCCTGGGGGGCCCAGGATGGGCCATCCTGTGCCATGATGAGGGAGAAGGGGGTCGGGACTAGAGGGGCCCCCCTCTTCTCACTGACATTCCAGACATAACTCAGGTTAGACACACATCCTCTGCTGGGCGGCACTGAGAGTTCATACCTCCTAATGAGATTTAGAGGATGGTGGTTCGAAGCCAGCCCAGGCAGAAAAGACCATGAAAACCAGCCAAAACTCAGGCTGGAGGTAGCACTTAAGTGGTAAAACACCTGCCATGGGCAGACAAGCCAAGTGAGAGGCCATGAGTTCAAGCCCCACTGGGTGCCGGTGGCTCACACCTGTAATCCTAGCTACTCAAGAGACTGAGATCTGAGGATTATGGTTCGAAGCCAGCCAGGGTAGGAACATCTGTGAGAGTCTGATCTCCAGTGAACCACCCCAAAAAGCTGAAAGTGGAACTGTGGCTCAAAAGATAGAGCACTAGCTTTCTTTGAGAAAGAGAAAAAAAAAAAAAAAGGTCAGGGGGGCTGGGAAGGTGGCTCAATGGTAAAGTGCTTGCCTTGCATTCCTGAGGCCCTGGGTTCAATTCCTCAGCACCACATAAACAAAAGAAAAAAGTCAGAAGTGGTGCTGTGGCTCAAGTGGTAGAGTGCTAGCCATGAGCTGAAGAGCTGAGGGACAGCGCCCAGGCCCAGAGTTCAGGCCCCACGACCAGACCCCCCCAAAAAAAAAGGTCAGGGACAGAGACAGGTTCCTTAGTTCAAGCCCTAGGACTGGCACACACACACACACACACACACACACACACACACACACACACAAAGACATGAGCTGGGCGCCAATGGCTCACGCCTGTAAGCTTAGCCACTCAGGAGGCTGAGATCTGAGGATCATGGTTCAAAGCCAGCTTGGGCAGCAAAGTCCATGAGACTCTTTCTCCAGTTAATCACTTAAAAACTGGAATTGATGCTGTGGTTCAACTGGTAGAGCCTAGGCTCTAAGTTCAAGCCCCATGACCAAAGGGGGAAAAAAAAAAAGAAACCTCTTTATTTCACAGGGTCTATGCCAGACCCTTGGCGAACCATAGAGAATGCGGAGGGAGAAGAAGGAGGAACAAGGGCAAATGGGCAGACGGACTGGCAGGTGGAAAGAGATATGCTGGAGCTTACCTTCCCTAGGGGAGCCTTGGGTGAGCAGGGAGAAGGCAGGGACTCCAACTGCAAGAAAGCGTCTTCCAGGAGACCTGGGGAGAGCAAAGTGCTGCTAAAGCAAATGCTTTTCTCCCAACTGAGCCGGGCCTGCTGCCTAGTGAGCTGGAGTCCGTGTGTCTGGCTTTCTCCTTTATGGTCCCCTACCCTGAGTTCAAGTCCTGCTCAAAGGCTTCCTAGGAGGCCCTTTTGTTCTGAGGAGGAGGACATGGCCTCCTGCTTTGGGCTCATTGAGCTTCAGCCTCTCCAGTTGGCTTGTGACTGTCCCTGTGCTGGACGGGGCTGCTAGGGGGAGGGGGCTGGGGTGAGGTCGCTCATCTCTGGGGATCCAGCAGGCCCTACACGGGCTGTGCATTTGGGGGTGGGGGTGGAAGCCCCGGGTTTTCTGTGTGGAAGAGGAATCCATTCTGGAAGCTTACCCTCGGTCAGGTAGAAGGTGTCATCCTGCAGGATGGGCTCTGGCAGGACTTTGCTCGGGGAGCTGAAGAACAAAGGGCTGAGTGCTAAACTGTCGCTTGCATAGCCTGTCGCACCCCAGGTATTGCTCTGGGGAAGCTCCAAGACCAGTGGGGTCTCTGGAAAAAGAAACAAGAAATGGGGGGCTCATAAGTGTGGTCAGGGGTTGTCTTCCTCCTTCTGCAACACGGCACCTGCCTTTGAGGGGTTCTGCCAGGCGCAGGAGGTAGAGGGGTGACTGTCTGTTTCTCATTTGGAGTTTGTGGGTAAAAGAAATTAATATTTGGGTGTTGGGTGGCTCTTATCTGTTATCCTATTCAGGAAACTGAGGCCTGGAGGATTATGTCCATGAGACTCTACCTCTAATTAAGCAAAATGCTCGACTAGAGGTGTGGCTCAAGCGGTAGCATGTCAGCCATGACCAAAAAGCTGAGTGAGAGTGAGAGGCCATGAGTTCAAGCCTGGCACGCGCACAAAATGATGATGATGATGCACCATGCCTAGCATTACATTAGAGATGGCAAAACCCCCCAAATCACTATCAGGTCTGTGTGCTGGTGACATCTGAAATTGTAGCTACTCAGGAGGCCGAGATCTGAAGATGGTGGTTCAAATCCAGCCCAGGCAGGAAATTCTATGAGACTTATTGCCAACTAACCACAGAAAACCAGAAGTGGAGCTGTGGCTCAAAGTGATAGAGTACTCGCCTCAAGCAAAAGAGCTCAGAGACGGCGCCCAGGCCCTGTATTCAAGCCCCATGACTCCCACCCTCATCCCCCCACCACACATACAAAATTACTATCATCTTGTGCCATATCTAACAGAATAATTGTAGTGATCTGTACATTTTGTGTTAAGAGAGATTCTGAGATACTATCTGGGATCAAGGGATTAAAAATTAGTAATGTCTGCCACAGCAACAAATGGCTGGAACAGCAGGCACAGCACGGCGCATTTGCCATGCCCATGCTTAGCAGCTCCTCAATCTCTTTCCAGCTTTCCTGCTGCCATGGGAATCCTGCCTGGAGGAGGGTACAAGGAAGTCCACCGCCTACACTGAGGACAGACAGTGTTTCAGTCACCCGAGGGGTCGTCCTTTGTCTCCCAGGCAGGAAGCCAAATGTTAGCACCTAGGATTTCCTTGTCCAGCTCCTCGCTGGAGATCAGCATCTGCCTGCAAGAGGTGAAATCAAGAGTCAGACACAGAGCCTGGGCTGGGCATGACCCTGTGACCCCCTTTGTGTGTCTCATGTGGTATTTTGGGTGCTGGCCCCAAGGAGATTCACAGTCCTTTGGCTCTGGCTCCCAAGATGCTTTGTGTCTTGTGGGAAGAAGCAGATGCTGGCAACAGAGGGGGGCTGCACTGGAGGGGGTTCAGGGAGGATGAGACTGGGGGGAGGGGGGAAAGGGAGATGAAGGAAAGAGAGAAGGAAGGAAGGAAGGCAGGCAGGCAGGCAGGTAGGCTTCAGTGAGCTCAGCTGTAGCATGAGAATTTTCCCCAGTAGACTAGGGCAGCAGGCTCTCTAGAAAGAAGGACAAGAGTCAGAAGAGAGGGACAAGACCAGAGGAGTCTGGGGCCAGGAGAATGAGGGAGTCATTTTGCCTTGTAAAGTGTGAAATCTGTGGGTGAGGCAGGAGAGGAGAGGACTGACACAGCAAGGGGGAACCACAGACTATCTCAAAGTCCCCAGTGTGATGTTGGGGTTCTACCCTGTGCACCCCATGGAGGGGCATCAAGCCATGTCTGCCACAGTCACTGTGTATGTGTTAGAAGAGTCACTCAGAGCTTGGCACTGGCGGCTCACACCTGTAATATTAGCTACTCAGGAGGCGGATATCTGAGGATCACAGTTCAAGGCCAGCCTGGGCAGGAAAGACCATGAAACTAATTTCCAATGAACAAACAGAAAACTAGAAGTGGCACTGTTGCTCAAAGTGGGAGAGCTCCAGTCTTGAGCAAAAGTGCTCAGGGACAGCACCCAGGCCCTGAGTTCAAGCCCCATGACTGACCAGAAAAAAAAGAAAAGTCACTCAGTCATATGGGGCCAGGCTACAGATGGGAGTCAGAAGGTGGTTAGCCAAGCTTTCCCATGAGCTTTCAACATCCAGCACAGAGCCAGGCCGCGTGTGCTATTTGAAAGACACCGCTGAGGACAGACACCTGCCTGACTTCATCTGCCTTCGGGGGCCTTACCTGGGAGAGATGTGCACCTTGTTGAAGAGAAAGGCTGTTTCCACTGCTCGCTGGGCCTCTTCATCAGCCTTGGGCTCATGATCTTTGGCATTGTCAATAGCACACAAGTCTGGAGGTGTAGGTGAGGGGGGGGGGAATGGAGGGGGAGGAGCAAATTGCAATGACCGATCTTGTAGATCAGGCCAGAGTCCAAGGCTCCCAGACAGCAGGGACAGAGAAGGGTCAGGGTCTGCCATTTGCCCTCCTAATCCCCCATTGCAGCCCCAAACCACAGGCTACAAGGGCCTTGCAGTGAGGCCAGGGGTGCCCAAATCACCCCTCAGTTTCTTGACTTTGCCATCCCTATCAGAAGCATCCTGAAGAGGTACACAGCACTCTAGGATACCCCAAGAAGTCTGGGTCGTTCTGCATTGTTCCCATATGGTGACAAGGTGATTCCTTCACTGGATAGTGAACTTGGACTCTGATGTAGCACAGGCATACTCAAGAAAAAAGCTGCCGCGCATGCATGTGGGCAGTTTGAGGCCAGGCCTGAATTCAAGTCCTCCCTACTCCCAGTTGGCATGGTGACAGATGTGAGAGACAGTCTGGTTGCTCAGAAAGGCCTGGAGGGGAGGTCCTCTCCTGTCTTTAGTTCTACAGCCTGAAGCTTCTAGAAAAAGGCTATCCCGATCTTCTTCTCCCTTACAGGTGCAAGACCCAGAGTGCTGGGAAGGGACGGGCAGTGTGTACCCCATGACCTATTGTATAGTTTGGGGCACTGCAGTGCCTGGTAAAGAACACTAAAAGACTGAGTTCAGGAGCCAGGTACCAGTGGCTCAGGCCTGTCTTTTTAGCTACTCAAGAGACTGAGCTCTAAGGATCATGGTTTAAACCCAGACCAGGCTGAAAAGTCTGTGAAACTCTTATCTCCAATTAATCACTAAAAGCTGGATAAAGAGCTATGGCTGAAGCTCCAGGCAACAGCCTGGAGCACAAAAGCTCAGGGACAGCATGCCTCAGCCCTGAGTTTAACTCCTCAGACACACTCACACACACACACACACACACACACACACACACACACACTCGAGCGCATGTGTACACGCACAGACTGAGTTGATGGTAAGGAAAGAGACTCACTTGTGAAGTCATAGGAGTCGATGTTCTCAGCCAGGTCCTGCACTACCAGCTGGAATATCCCTTCTTCACCACCATCCTGGAGCGAGGATAGTGCAGCCGGGAGGGGATTGCAGAGGTCAAGGCATTTTGGAGGGGTGGTGGTTACCCCCAAGTTTTCTTCTCTCTGGTCTGGAAATGTGGTCTCCCCTTCCTCAGGCTTATGCAGATCCAGAGAGCGGCGGAGCATCTGGGGTCCATCCTGCTGTTCTGTGAGTAGAGATGGGGTGTCAGAAGCTTGGGGGATGGAGATAGGAGGGGGGGTAGCCTGACTGTCCCCAGAATGAGGATATTCTCATGCCTCCGGGACATGCGCACATCTTCCAGCATTGTCCACATACCACCAACCAATGAAAATTATGATGCCTGGTTGGCCTGGATAGGTTGATGGTCCATTCCAGATCAACATCACAACTCTCTGGTGTGAGGTACACCGGCAAAAAGATTTCTTTTTTTTTTTTTTTAAGAAAACACCAGGTGAGCTGGGTGCTGGTGGCTCATGCTTGTCATCCTAGCTGCTCAGGAGACTGAGATCTGAAGATCTTGGTCCTAAGCCAACCCAGGCAGGAAAAGTCAGTGAGACTGGAAGTGGAGCTCTGGCTCAAGTGGTAGAGCACCAATCTTGAGTACAGAAAGCTCTGGGAGCCGGGTGTCAGTGGCTCACTCCTGTAATCCTAGCTACTCAAGAGGCTGAGATCTGAGGATCACAGTTCAAAGGCAGCCTGGGCAGGAAAGTCCCCATGAGACTCTTATCTCCAATTAACCACTCCAAAACCAGAAGTGTTGCTGTGGCTCAAAGGGGTAGTGGGCTAACCTTGAGCAAAATACCTTAGGGACAGCACCCAGGCCCTGAGTTCAAACCCTAGGACCGGCACCAAAAAGAAAAAAAGAAAAAGAAACGCTAGCTCAGGAGCAATGACAGAGCCCTGTCCAAGACAATACATAGGGGCAACATCCTTCCTTGAGTCTAAACAGTGATTCTCATGAGAGCACTGCTTGAGCCGGATCTATGCAGGCTCCTGTGTAGAAGACACCTTTGGCTGGATCTTGTCCTGAGGAGGAGGTGGGGGCTAGGGCTACTCCCGGCCTTTGGCATCTGGAAATTCTAGCTCTCCCCATCCCCTAGCAGAGTCCCTGCTCCTATTTGACCTCTGCTCCCCAATCAGCACCCAGTGACCACGATACCTGATCCTCGGGTCGATTTGTACTTTTTCTTGCGAGGTTTGTGGCAGGCCTCCCAAAAATGAGAATTCTGAGAGCTTGGGGAGCTGGGCGGGGTAGAGAATCTCTGCTTGGTTTGGTCTGAAGATGAGTTCTGACCAAGCGCTGGTGGGAGGATGAAGGACACGGTGTCTGACTTTCTCTCCTGGTCCAGAACATTCTCCTGCCTTCCAGGTGTGGTGGGCTCCCAGGTGGGCTCTACAAATAGGGAAACTGAGGTGTCAGAGGAGGTGGTAGCGGAACACAGAAAAAATGTGAGGTCCTGGGATAGGAATGTGGCTTAGTGGTAGAATGCTTGCCTAGCATGCATGAAGCCCTGGGTTCCATTCCTCAGTACTATAAACAGAAAAAGCCAGAAGTGGCACTATGGCTCAAGTGATAGAGTGCTAGCCTTGAACAAAAGAAGATCAGAGATAGCGCCGAGGCCCTGAGTTCAAGCCCCAGGATTGGAAAAAAAATATCTGGGGTTCCCTGAGGCTGCTCTGAGCCTTGGCCAAGAAAATAAAAGGACTTTATACACTCCCTGCCCTGAACCCCCAATACCTGTCCTCACCTCAGAGACCACCACCTACCTTGGGATGACCCCAGGCCTCTCAAGACTTCCATATTTAGCATCTCTCTCAAGTTAGCCACTAGGTCTACCATCCCAGTAGCCCTGCCAGATAGGACCTCATTGTCTTTTTTTATTTTTTTGTGTAGGTCCCAGGCTTGAACTCAGGGCCTGGGAACTTTTCCTGAGATTGTTTTGCTCAACATTGGCACTCTACCATTTGAACCGCAGCTCTACTTCTGGCTTTTTGGTGGTGGTTAATTGGAGATAAGAGTCTCACAGACTTTATTGTATGGGCTAGCTTCGAACCTTGATGATCCTTAGATCTCAGTGTCCTGAGTAGCTGCCGGCGCCAAGCCTTTTTTTCCCACATTGTTCCTAGAAGTATTTTCTCTGGTCTCTCTGAATCCAATTTCACGCACACAACCTGTCTTGTACACTGGACAGCAGGGACCTTATTCTAAGGCAAAGCCCCTTCCATCTGATCCTGACATTCTCTGTAATTCTTTTTTTTTTCCTTTCAGGATTTCATCCCAGACCCTGCCCAATCTCCCCCTCCACCGCCCCCTCCCCCCACCCCGCCCCATAGAGATGGGGTATCAATCCTGCTTTGAAGCCTAGAGAAGCTAAGGTCACAAGGACGAGGCCCAGGAGCCATGCACATGTCATCCGGGTGTACCTCTGCCCCTCCATCACAACCCCCACTGCTTGTCCCCAGACATTCCTCACATGTCTCCTCACACCCACCTGCCTGCTCCTGTCTGTGTTGCTTCATTCTGGAAGCCCCTACAGCATTACCAGTGCCGTCCCTTCCTTAGGCTATGGTGTGTGTCGGGGGCCCTGGAGACGGGGGGATGCTCACATGTAGTACGGGGCAGCTGGTGGGAAATCCTTACCTGCAGCCCCTACTCCCCTGCTGCTGATGTGGCATCCGATCAGGGTCTGGACCACATTGATACTGCTCTGAAGGTACCGGATATAATTCAGAACATGCAAAAGGATCTCCTTCTAAAAACATACAGGACACAGGAAAGCTGTGCTCAGAACAGCAAGGACAGGATGGCCCCAGGCCCTTTGTTCATGCTCTATCCCTGATGGTGAGGCTTTCCTCTTCTCTTCACAGACTCCCTCATCTGCCTCCTTCTCTTCCTCCTCTAGCCTCCTGAATGCTTGCCTGCCTGCCCCCTCTCACCCAGCCTGGGTCAGCTGCCTGCCTGCTTTCTTTCTTTCTTTTTGTTGGTCCTAGGGCTTGAACTCTGGGCTTGGGTGCTGTCCCTTAGCTCTTTAGCTCAAGGTGAGCGCTGTACCTCTTGAGCCACAGTGCCACTTCTGGTTTTCCAGTGGTTTATTGGAGATAAGAGTCTCACAGACTTTCCTGCCCAGGCTGGCTTTGAACCCAGATCTTCAGTTCTCAGCCTCCTGAGTAGCTAGGATTATAGGCATGAGCCCCAGTGCCCAGCCTCAGCATTCTTTTTGTTGGTGGTACTAGGGTTTAAACTCAGGACTTGGTGCTTGCTAGGCAGGTGCTCTATCTCTTGAGCCATGTCCTGGTTTCCTTCCTCTGCACTTTATTCCCCTCTCTCTGCCCCCTTTTATTTTATTTATTTATTTTTTGGTCAGTTGTGGAGCTTGAACTCTGGGTCTGGGTGCTGTCCCTCAGCTCTTCAGCTCAATGCTAGCGCTCTACCACTTGAGCCACTGCACCACTTCTGCCCCCTTTTAAACATTTCTTTTGGGGGGCTGGGAATGTGGCTTAGTGGTAGAGTGCTTGCCTAGCATGTATGAAGCCCTGGGTTTGATTGCTCAGTGCCACATACACAGAAAAAGCTGGAAGTGGCATTGTGGCTCAAGTGGTAGAGTGTTAGCCTTGAACAAATGAAGCTCAGGTACAGTGCCCAGGCCCTGAGTTCAAGTCCCAGGATTGGCAAACACTTTTTTTTCCTTTTCACACTTGTACAACCATAGAACTATTTCCACGGAGGCACTGCCACACTGTTTTATCATTATCTGCTGCCCTGTTGTTCTTTCCCATTGACCTTGAACTGTTTGACAGACAGAATGGCCCTCACTAGTTGATTTCTGTGTCTCAAGCACATAGAATGGAGAGGAAGTTCAGCCAGGCGCTGTCACAGGAAAAAAGGCCCCCCAACCCTCCTGCCCCCACCCACCTCACAGCACCCAGCAGGGAGCCTGCTCTGGGTACCCAGCATCAGCCACCCAGCCACTGGCTCTCTCTGAGCTGAGGCTACTCACTAAGGCTCTACGCATGTCGGGGTATACTAGACCTGCTTTCTTTGCCTTCATGGGACCTACGGGCTAGCTCACCCCTCATGCTTGCCTGTCATGCCAAGGTATTCAGGGGCCAGAAATCCAGAGGATCACAGTTTGAGGCCAAACTGGGCAAAAAGTGAGAGAGACACCTTCCTATCCCATCTTGGTCTAAGACCAGCCCCAGGTTAAAAAAAAAAAAAAGTGGAACTATCTGAAAAAAACAAAGCCTGGTCCCAGTGACTCTTGCTTGTAATCTTGGCTACTCATGCGACTGAGATCTGAATACTGTTGTTTGAAGCCAGAAGAGGCAGGAAAGTCTGTGAGACTCTTATCTCCAATTAATCACAGAAAAAGCTGGAAGTGGCACTGTACTGTGGCTCAAGTTGTAAAGTGCTCGCCTTGAGCAAAAGGAGCTCAGGGACAGTGGCCAGGCTCAGAGTTCAAGTCCCAGGAAGGGCAAAAAACAAGACGATGACGACAACAACAACAAAAACAACTAAAGCAAAATAAATGAATAACTGAAGTAAGAGACAAAAAGGCTGGATGTGTAATTCAAGTGATAGAACACCCAACTATCAAGTATAAGACCCTGTGTTCAAACCCTAATACTTCCAAAACAAACAAAAACATGGTATCCTGAAGTGGGAGAGAATTCTGAGGGATGTGGTCATCTGGTCAGTTACAAATGCTACCTGTCCCCTGGCTAGACTGTCATTGTTTACGTCTTTATCATGTCTGGTCCACAGACCCTCTTACAACACCTATGCACCGCAAATATGCAAGATGTTGAGGATAGAGGAAGAACTTGCTCTGATAGTCCACATCCGTACACATTCTAAAGATATTCACATCAAAATCCACAGTTCTAGAAATAACAATTTGGGGCGACAAAGGGACCTCTGCAGATGTGAATGAAGGAAGGATCTGGGGATAGGGTGATTACTTATTGTCTTATAAAGATCATGAGCTCTGTGTGTGTGTGTGTGTGTGTGTGTGTGTGTGCAAGCACACATATGTGCAAAAGTGCCAGTCCAAGGTCTTGAACTCAGAGTCTAGGCACTGTTCCTGAGTTTTGCACAAGGCTAGCTCTCTACTTCTAGCTCCACTTCTACCTTTTTTATTTTTGCCAGTCATGGGGCTTGAACTCTGGGCCTGGGCACTGTCCCTAAGCTCTACAGGTCAAGGCCAGCACTCTACCACTTGAGCCACAGTGCCACTTCCTGTTTTCTGATGGTTCATTGGAGATAAGAGTCTCAAGGACTTTCCTGCCAAGGCTGGTTTTGAACCTCAGTCCTCAGATCTCAGTATCCAGAGTAGCTAGGATTACAGGCATGGGCCACGGGTGCCCAGCTTCTTTATATATTTATTACAAAGCCCATGAAGAGAGCTTACCATTGCTAACTCACAGAGATGAAATCCACAGGTCCCCAAATGAGGGAGTGGTGGAGGAAAATGGCATTTATTCAGGGCATGCTAAGTGCTGGGCCCCATGTGGCCATCATGCTATTTTTGGGGGGTAGTGGGAGTTATTTTTCCCTTCTTTGACAGCTGAGAACCTTGAGGCCTGTGGAGTCTGAGGAAGCTGCCCAGGGAGTGCAGCAGTGAAGATGGAGGAGCACTTAAACCCATGGCTGCATGACTATAGCCCTGTCTTCTGTGTAAATGAAACCCACTAGGAGCACTTGCCTAGTATGGATGAGTATCTTGGTTCCATTTCTAGCACCACAAAACAAAAAGGAATCCTTGCCAGGGGCCAGTGGCTCATGCCTGTACTTTTACCCAGAAAGCTGATAATCTGAGGATTGTGGTTCAAACCCAGCCCAGATAGGAATGTCTGTGAGTCTCTTATCTCCAATAAACCACCAGAAAACTGGAAATGGAGCAGTGGCTCAAATGGTAGAGCACTAAGCCTTGAGCAAAAAAGCTCAAGGACAGTGCCCAGGCTGTGAGTTCAATCCCCATAACCTACAAAAAGAAAAAAAGGAAGGATTCCTCAGGCTTCAAATTATGGGGTCACAGACACCCAGAAATGATCCTTTAGAGCAGGATCATTCCCACCTCAATGTTGGTCACTGACAGGATCTGATAGGTCTCCCAGAATGAGACCCCACTTACTGCTGTGTGAACCCTGCCACCCTAGTCTGCCTCATCTCCTTTGCTCCCCAAACCTTAGTGTGCTTCTTGGTTCCACTCTTCTGAGAAATGGGGAGCAGCAGTGCCAGCTCTCGAAGTTTGCTGGTGTGGTTTTTCTTCTCATTCCTGTTGAGTGACAAGAGCCATCTTGGGGTTAGAGCAACTACAAATTAATTTAGCATGTGACTTTCTGAACATCCCATCTCAATGACCCCAGGTTGTGGCTTGGACAAAGCCCACTCTGGGAGCACCCAAGACTCTGTTTTGGGCATCAGTAGAAGTTAAGCCTCAGCTAGGTGCTGGTGACTCTTACCTGTAATCCCAGCTACTCAGGAGGCTGAGGGTTCTGGATTCAAAGTTATCCCAGGCAGGAAAGTCTGTGAGACTCTTATCTCCAATAAACTACCAGAAAATCAGAAGTGATGCTGTAGCTCAAAGTGAGAGAGCACTAGCCTTGAGCAAAAGAAGTTTAGGGACAGTGCCCAGGTCCTAAGTTCAAACCTCACAACCGACAAAAAAAGAAAGAGAAAAGAAAAAGAAGAAAGAAAAGAAATCAAGCCTCATCATTCTCAAGGGCTCAATCCTTACTCAGTCCCCTGGTCCCTATTGACATCCTCACAGGCCTCTGAGCCTCCTGTCTGGCCTCCTCTATCCTTGCTCTTTACTAGAGGCTTCTGAAGCAAAAATCTGGCCATATCACTCTTTTGCTTAGAACACCTATTGTCATCCCATGTGGTGATTCACCCCTGTAATCTCAGCTACTCCCAGCTACTCAGGACACAGAGATTGGGAGGATCATAGCTTGAGGTCATCCCAAGCAAAGTTAATGAGACTCTCATCTCAGTAAGTCTGGCATGACTGGGGCACTGGTGGCTCACTCCCACCTATCAGGTTAAGCTATGTGAAAGACTGAGACCCAGAGGATCACGGTCTGAGGCCAGTCCAGGCAGACAAGTCCACAGAACTGCATTTCAGGTTGGGCATGGAGGAATGTGCTTGTCATTCCAGCTACCATGGGAAACCTGAAATAGGCTGGGCTGCAGCCCAGATGCAGGGTAGAAAGAGACACTGTATAAAAAAAATAACCAGGCTGGGAATGTGGTTTAGTGGTAGAGTGCTTGCCTAGCATGCATGAAGCCCTGGGTTTGATTCCTCAGTACCATATAAACAGAAAAGGCTGGAAATGGTGCTTTGGCTTAAGTGGTAGAGTGCTGGCATTCAACAAAAGCAGCACAGGGACAGTGCCCACGCCCTGAGTTCAAGCCCCAGGACGAAAGAAAGAAAAGAAAGAAGGAAAGGAAGGAAGGAAGGAAGGAAGGAAGGAAGGAAGGAAGGAAGGAAGGAAGGAAGGAAAACCAAGTTGGACACTGGTCGTTTACACCTGTGATCCTAGCTACTCAGAAGGTTGAGACCCGAGGATCCAGGTTCAAAGCCAGCCAAGGCAGGAAAGCTTATGAGAGACTCTTATCTCCAATTAACTAGCAAATAATCAGATATGGAGCTGTGGCTCAAGTGGTAGAGTGTTAACCTTGAGCAAAAGAAGCTCAGGGCCCAGGCCCTAAGTTCAAGCCCCAGGACTGGCCAAAAAAAAAGTCTTAGAAAAGACCTAGCAACAAGTGAATCTTGTTGTTATTGTTTGTTATTATTTGTTGTGATACTAAGGCTTGAACCCAGGGCCTCCACTTCATACATGAGAGGCAACACTCTACTACTTGAGCTACACTTCAGCCTATTATGTTATTATTCAATCTGAGTGGCTAGAGATGGAAGGGACATGGGGAGCCATTACCTGTTACTGTGACCCAAGGAATCATTGCTAGGGTGTTCAGAGGAACTCAAATATCTACCAGAAACAAACATCTGCAAAGAGAAAAAATAAATTATTAGCGATCTCTAGGACTCCCAGAGCAAAGGTCTACATGATGGGTACCTTTCATTTCTTCTTGGGTGCTTCTTTTCAACTTAAGAGTCCTAACTCTCCATAACGATGGACTCAGAGGCCTCAATTAAAAACTTAAAGCTGGGAGCTGGTGGCTCACACCTGTCATCCTAGGTACTGAGAAGGCTGAGATCTGAGGATAGAGGTTCAAAGCCAGCCCAAGCAGGAAAGTCAACCAATTAACTAAGTCCGTTTAATCACTAGAAAAACAGAAGTGGAGCTGTGGCTCAAAGTCATAGAGCTCAGTAGCCTTGAATGGAAATCATTCAGAAACAGTGCCCAGGTCTTCAGTTCAAGCCCTATGGATAACAACAACAAAAAATCCTAAATTCCCTGGGCACTGATATCCTGGGGCTTTGGTGCTGTCCCTGAGCTTTTTCACTCAAGGCTGACACTCTAGCACTTGAGCCACAGCTCCATTTCTGGTTTTTATGGTGGTAGTTGGAGATAATAGTCTCATAGACTTTCCTGAGAGCACTGACTTCAAACCATGATCCTCAGACCTCAGCCTCCTAAGTAGCTGACATGAATATGCCCAAGGTGCTTAGCCTATGAGACTCTTATCTCCCATTAACCACCAAATAGCCAAAAGTAGAGCTGTGGCTTAAGCAGTAGAGTACTAGCCTTGAGAGAAAAGAAGCTCAGGAGCCGGGCACCCGTGGCTCATGCCTGTCATCCTAGCTACTCAGGAGGCTGAGATCTGAGGATCAAGGTTCAAACCCAGCCTGGGCAGGAAAGTCCGTGAAACTCTTATCTCCAATAAACCACCAGAAAATCGTAAGTGGGGCTGTGGCTCAAGTGGTAGAGTGCTAGCCTTGAGCTGAAGAGCTGAGGGACAGCGCCCAGGCCCAGAGTTCAAGCCCCAGGACTGGCATATACACACACACCAAAACCCAAATTGAGGTTTTAGGCTCCTAATCTTAGGCCCTATAGATTTGAAGCCTAACTCTAAGTCTCCAGTCCTGCCATTTCAGACTACTCACTTCCTTCCAGAAAACTCCAGAACCCCAGACTTCAAGACATTCCCCCTCCCCAATATGGGAGTATCCAGATTCCAACCGGGAAGCTTCTAGTCACACACATCCCACTTCCTCAGGTTCTCTAATCTGCCTACCTCCACACACAAACTCCAAGAGACCCCAGATTGCCAAGAGCTCCTCTAAACAGCGCCTTCCACAGGCCCGACTTTAGAGGGGACGCCCCAAAACTCGACCCAGCCTCACACTCAAATGCCCGCTCCGTCTCCAGGCCTTGTGCCCCCCTCTCAGGACCCTACAACCAGGAGACAAGCCATTACCTTTATAAAGGGCCTCTCTGGGAGGGGGGACCCCAGAATCTCCTGACTTGATAAAGCTCCAGGGAGTCCACTTCCCCCCTCTCCCATACCAGACACCCCAACATTCGCTCCTCGCCAGGTCCTCTCAGCCTCCGGCACCCACCTCAAATGGTGACAAAAATGGCGCCAGGCCTAAGTTATGGCTTCACGACAGCCCCACACTGGGGAGCCAGAAACCCCACAGTGTGCCGGGCCGGTCCTGGGTGGGAAAAATATGCACAGAAGCCCCCAGACTCCCGCCGGCTGCGGCCTAAGTTCTGAGCCCCCAGCACAGCACGAGGAAAAGGCGCGAATTCCCACGCTGAGGAGAGAGAGGCACGCGCCCGGCCGGCCCCTCTCCAGTTCCCGCCAAAGCAGGGCGAGGCGCGACCCTGGAGAAGCCTCGAGAGGTCAGGAGAAGTGGCCCTGCGCAGGCGCGCTGCGCACACCCCCCCAGTGGCTGGGTCCCACAGCCCGGGCCTCGTGTCTCCAAGACACTTGCTGGCGAGCTCCACGAGGCTGGCCAATCAGCGTTCGTCCAGCTACCCGCCTTTTCGGGAGGCCACGCCCCCTCCCGTTTTGCTGCCTGGGAGACCAGATGACTGTTCAGTTCTCCAGCTTCAGAAACCTTGGGGTCATGAAGAGGTGGCGTTGCCCTTTTGCCCCTGCCTGCCAACGACTCCTAACCCCAAGGTACCCCATTTCCACAGCTTTCTCCCTCGAATTGGTGCCTACTGTGTGCCAAACAGAATGTTCCACGCTGGGAACTTTGCCAAGATGGAATTGAGACTTAGTCCTAGTTTTTCCTCATGAAGTTTGCACGTGCGTTTGAGATGCAAGTAAACGGTACATTTTAGTAAGCCCATCCTTGGGGCTTGAAAGATGGCTCAGTGGTAGAGTATTTGCCTAGCATGCATGAAGCCCTGGGTTCGATTCTTCAGTACCACATACTCAGAAAAAACTGGAAGTGGTGCTGTGGTTCAAGTGGTAGAGTGCTAGCCTTGAGCAAAAGCAGCTCAGGGACAGAGCCCAGGCCCAGGCCGTGAGTTCAAGCCCCAAGCCTGGCGGTGGGGGAAAAGAAAACTTTTTTTTTTTTGTCAGTGTGGGCTTGAACTCTGAGCTTAGGCACTATCCCTGCCCTCTTCAGCTCAAGGTAAGCGCTCTGTTCTACCACTTGAGCCACAGCAGACTTTTCTATGCGGGCTGGCTTTGGACTGTGATCCTCAGATCTTAGCCTCCTCAGTAGCTAGGATTATTGGTGTGACCCACTGGCCCCTGGCAGAAAACTCATTCTTATAATGCAGGAGGAGAATGCACTGGAAAAAAGAAATACAACTTTAAAGCCAGGCACTGGTGGCTCAGGTCTGTAATCCTAGCTATTCAGGAGGTCCAGATCTGAGGATCCTAGTTTGAAGCCTGCCCAGGCAGGAAAGTTTATGAGAGTCTTTTTTTTTTTTCTTTTGGCCACTTCTGGGGCTTGAACTCAGGGTCTGGGCATTGGCTCTGATCCTCTTTGTGCTCAAGGCTAGCACTCTATTACTTGAGCCACTACTCCACTTTTGGCTTTTTCTGAGTAGTTTGTTGGAGGTAACAGTCTCATGGGTTGGGCACCGGTGGCTCACACCTGTAATCCTACTCAGGAGGCTGAGGTCTGAGGATAAAAGTTTGAAACCAGCCAAGACAGGAAAGTCCATGAGAGTCTTATCTCCAGTTATCCACTCAAAAACTGAAGGTGGCACTAAAGCTCAAAGTGGTAGAGCACTAGTCTTGAGCAAAAGAGCTCAGGAACAGTAACTTGGTCCTGAGTTCAAGCCCCACAACCAACACAAAAAAAATTAAATTAAAAAATTTAAAAAGTCTCATGGACTTTTCTGCCTGAGCTGGCTTCAAACTGTGATCCTCAGATCTCAGCCTCCTGAGTAACTAGCATTACAAATGTAAGCCACCAGTGCTTGGCTCAGTCATATCTTTAATTAATTACCCAAAAGCTAAAAGTGGAGCTATGGCTCAAGTGGTATAGTGCTAGCCAAGAGCACAAAGAGGATCAGAGACAGTGCCCAGGCCCTGAGTTTGAGCCTCAGGACTGACACACAGACACACACACAAATACAGTTTTAAGTGAAGGTGATCTAGACCAGTAATAAAGAGTAGAATCAGGGCTGGGAAGGTGGCTCAGTGGTAGAGCGCTTGCCTTGTATGCTCGAGGCCCTGGGTTTGATTCCTCAGCCCCACATAAGCAAAAAAGAAAAAAGCTGGAAGTGGCGCTGTGGCTCAAGTGGTAGAGTGCTAGCCTTGAGCTGAAGAGCTGAGGGACAGCGCCCAGGCCCAGAGTTCAAGCCCCATGACGGGACCAAAAATAAAATAAAGAGTAGAGTCCATGATAGTCTAATGTATTTTGGTCCAAATCGTTTTCTTGTATTCGTATGGAGAAAAGGCTCAGTATTTTGCATTAACTTTGGTAAACTTGGGATCATATGTCTTGCTAAGGTTATCTGCAAGGTGTCTAACATAAAGTTATTCAATTGCTGTAGGTGATTGAACAAAGTATACAAAGATTCCTGCCCTGTTCCTGCTTCTATTCTAACTATGCTGTAGACTGGCTCCTCCTAGTGTGGGAGTCTTTCTCTTTGCAAGTCTTCATTTTTTCATTTGTACATTAGCAGGCGTTGCTAGGTAAAAGAATGGGGTGATTGGGAAAGCGTAAGTGCACTGTTAATTATTGTGTGAATTAACACGAATAAATAATTTTAAACCAAAAAACGTGTTCTTTCTCTACTCTCCACCCCTTCCACCCTTTTTGCAATTCCCTTTCTTCTAAGGGTCCCAAGTCAAAAATGAGAGCGATTGGACTCCATCTCCCAGCAGGCCGCGCGGAAATGCGCGTGCGCAGCTAAAATCCCTCCTCCGGTGGAAATTCTTTTCTTCAACTAGCTCATTTGGCTTCCTAGCGGCAGCACTGCATTCTGGGAGGCGTAGTCCGTGGCCGCGCGAACTTCAATTCCCAGAGGGCTTTGGGGCGAGAACCCGGAAGGGGAGGCTGTAGAGGAGCGAGTGGGGGAGCCCCGCGTAGTCGAGGCAGCCTCGCCGCGCGGGGATGGTGAGAGCCCCGGGCGGGTTCCGGGGGGCACCTGAGAGTGTGTACATCGGTTCAGGACCGGTAGGTGTGGAGAAAGAGAGCTGTGTTTGGGCGTGGGGAGATGGTTTGGGGGAAGGGAATGGGGGAGCCTGAGGGAGTGGAAGAATGGGGGGTCGGGGAGGGGTCTTGGGGTTAGGGAGGGGGTCATGCTTTGGGGGTTGCTTGTAAGGTTGCTCAGAGCTGGGGAAGGAGGCTCCTGAACTAGGCGTCCAGGCAGAGAACCTTCAGAGAGTAGAATTTCGAAAGGGGTCCAGCTTGGGGGCCTTGAACAGGCACAGGGGTGAGATCTAGGTGAGTGGATGCCATGCATGGGTCTGGTTTTCTGGGTTAGAGTTGGGGGAGGAAGGAAGTTGAGGGGATGGGAGGCAGAAATCAGTGAGTATCGGTTAGGCTCTGAGGTTGTGGGGAGGTGACTTGGGAACCCAGAGTTTGGATTGGATGGAGAGGACATCTCCCTCCCCCCCAGTGAGATGGACAGCGGCAAAACTCTTGAGACCATATGACCTGAGGGACCCTTGAGACATTTTTACACCCCAGTGGCACCCGGAGACGTGTGGTGGTTTATCTCTGTGGGCGGTCCATCGCTCATCCTTTATTCTGCCCGCCTTTGTGATCTAGGCTTGAGTCTTGAGGGTAACCAGAAAAAGCCAATGGAAGGATTCTTAAAATCCTTCCCATGAATGGGGTGATAACTTCCAGGCTCGGGCTTGTTGGTGGAGAGTTGCCCATCTCTGGGGTGGGTGATAACTGCTAATAGATTTCCTGCTTTCAGTCCATCCAGAGAGGTATTTTCTCTCAACCAGCCACTGATCTGGGCATATGCCAGGTTAAGAACATGCAAGGGATCCCTACAATCTCTTATAGCTAGCACTCCATCATTTTTTGCAAATTATTTGGCTCTTTTTTTTTTCATAAAGTTGTTTGTTCCTATTAACTCCTTGGATTCTGATCCCTGTGAGATGAAGTAAGTAACTCCATCCTATTTTACAGAAAGAATGAAGAAGCACAGAGAAGTTCAGCAACTTTCCCAAGGTCAACTAGCATTACATGTAGCTTTTGGGTACCAAGCAGAATCTGCATTTACCACTATAATCTAGTCCCTTCTACTGAAGTCCCATGTGGGTAGGTCAGAGACCAAAGCAGACTTCTGGTATATATTTAAATTCTGCCTTGTACTTGCTGTGTGACCTTAGGTAAGTTTTTTTGTTTTGTCTGAGACTATTTTTTTTCCATAGAGCCTAGGCTGAGCTGGAATTCTTTGTGTGTAGGGGGGGGGCGGGGGTGTGTGTTGCCAGCCCTGGGGCTTGGACTCAGGGCCTGGGTACTGTCTCTGAGCTTCTTTTGTGCAAGGCTAGCATTCTACCACTTGAGTCACAGCACCACTTTAGCTTTTTCTGTTTATGTAATACTGAGAAATCAAACCCAGAGCTTCATGCATGCTAGGCAAGCACTCTACTTCTAAGCCAAATTCCCAGCCTGACCTGGAACTCTTGATATTCCTGCTTCAGCCTCCTGAGTGCTGGGATAACAGGTGGTATATCACCATGGTGGTTGTTTGGTTTTTCTGGTTTATTTTTGTCAGTCATGGGGCTTGAACTCTGGGCCTGGGCGCTACCCCTCAGCTCTTCAGCTCAAGGCGAGTACTCTACCATTTGAGCCACAGTGCCACTTCCGGTTTTCTGGTGGTTTATTGGAGCTAGGAGTCTCATGGAGTTTCCTACCTGGGCTGGCTTTGAACCCTGATCCTCAGATCTCAGTCTCCTGAGTAGCTAGGATTACAGGTGTGAGAAATCCAGTTCCCGGATTGGTTTTTCTGTTTCATGGTTTTTTTGGACTCTTCTGGCTTGTTGAATGGGATCTGTGACCATAGGAAAGTTCAAGGTCCAGAGAGACAGTATCTGGAAAGTGCTTAGATGAAGTGCTCAGTGTGCCTGTGTTGATTTTTGAACTTGAATGGGAAGCAGAGATCAGAGAGAAGCCTGCAGAAAGGGACCAGTAAAGGAAGTATACTCTTATATCTCCTTTCTTTCTTCTCCCAAGTGCCCACACGTCCTGGTCATTTTAGTTCCTACCCTGTCTTCCAGAGCTTCTCTTCTACTCCTGGAGACAGTGCTTAGAAACTCAATCTGTCCCCAGCCAAATATAAATAATTTAATTGCCTAGTCTGGCCCAATTCCAGGTGTTAGGGTGAAGGAGGAATATTTCTAACAACTGAGTTACAAATGTTATTTTTCTACTGACTTTCCCCCATCTAACCTTTTTTTGTCACTGGGGTTAGCAACTTTGTATTTATTTGGAAGTTGGTTCCTTTCCTAAAAGCCTCCTGGGGTTCATAAATTCAGTGACTGATAATGAAGTGTCAGGCCAGCGTCAGGCCCTTGCTGTGTGTCCTTGGTCTAGCTGCATTCCCATTCTGTGTGTAAAATGTGACCACCATTGACTCATGAGGTTCTTCTGCAGAAGTAGGGAGCCAAGGGTCATTTGGAATTTTTTTTTTAAGTGAATACTGGAGTTTGGTGTTAATCTCTGGGCTCTGTCCCTTTTTTCACTCTTTGCTGGAACTCTATCACATGAGCCACACCTCTACTTCTGGCTTTTTGGTGGTTAATTGGATTTACCTATTCAGGCTGGGTTAGAGTTTTGATCCTCAGATCTCAGTCTCCTGAGTAGCTAGGATTACAAGGTTTTTGCACCACTTCCGGTTTTCTAGTGGTTAATTGGAGATAAGAGTCTCCCGGTGATCCTCAGTTCTCAGCTTCCTCAGTAGCTGGATTACAGGCGTGAGCCACCCGCTCCTGGCTGCATAGCTAATCTTAAACTCACTATGTTGCTCAGGTAGACATTGAACTTGGAATCGTTCTGCTTCATCTTCTTGAGTAGCTGGAATTATAGGTATGACGTAAACTTTTTTTTGGGGGGGGGGCACTCAGGCCACTCACCTAGTCTTTTTTCTTTTAAGTGTTTCTCAGATACAGTCAGATACTAACTTTGCCAGGACTGGCCTCTGACTAGGATTCTGTCTCTACCTTTTGAGTGGCTGGAATTCTAGGTGCCTGGGAATGGAACTTGGGGTCTCAAGTGTGCTGGGCGAGCGCTCTACTACTACTCCTGTCCCAATATCTCCACTTTACAATGGTGGCACAGAGGGTCCTACAGCATCCCTAAGAAAGCTGGGCTTGGCACGCCTTGCCTCAGTCCTGTCTGCTTTCAGCATCTGAAGGTTCCTGCCCTCAGGAGTTTTAGTCAGCAGGGATAACCTCACTGTGGGAGTGGCCAGCTGACCCTAAGGCCAAAGAGTCAGGAGCCTGGATTGTAAACAAAAGGCAGTAGATGGACAGGACTGCCAGCACTGGACCAGATGTGTCTTGTCCAACAGTGGTGTCCTGCCACCAGTTCCTGAGTTACTGGCATTACATGCCATGGGCATCTTCCTTGGGCTGTACGTGACCTTGGATGGCATCTACTTATTTATTTATTGGGTGGTACTAGGATTGAACCCAGGGCCTAAAGAATGCTAGGCACATGCTATCATTTTGTTTTGTTTGGGTTTTTTGCCTAGGTTCAAGGCTTACATTCTTATCACTTGAGCCACAATTCCACTTCCATCTTTTCTTTTTTTTTCTTTGCCAGTCCTGGGGCTTGAACTCAGGGCCTAGATGCTGTTTCTGAGCTTCTTTTGCTCAAGGCTAGCACTCTACCACTTGCACAGTGCCACTTCCCGGCTTTTTCTGTGTATGTAGTACTGAGGACTTGAACCCAGGGCTTCATGTGTGCTAGGCAAGCACTCTACCACGAAGCCACATTCCCAACCATCTTCCAGCTTTTTATTTATTTTTATTTATTTATTTTTGGGGTCTGGTCGTGGGGCCTGAACTCAGGGCCTGGGCACTGTCCCTCAGCTCTTCAGCTCAAGGCTAGCGCTCTACCACTTGAGCCACAGCGCCACTTCCGGCTTTTTTCTTTTTGCTTATGTGGTGCTGAGGAGTCGAACCCATGGCCTCAGGCGTGCAAGGCAAGCACTCTACCACTGAGCCACCTTCCCAGCCCCGCAGCTTTTTATTTTTACTGGTTAACTGGACATAAGTGTCTTGACTTTGCTGCCCAGGCTGGTTTTCGGGTACATTCCTCAGCTCTCAACCTCCTGAGATGCTACAATTGTAGGCATGAACACCAGCGCCCAGCTGAGCCAATGCTTTTGCTTTAGTTACTTTTCAGGTAGGGTCTTAAGAGTTTTTGCCCCAAGTTGACCTCCAACAATTATCTTCCTATGGCCTCCCTCTCATAGCATGACAGGCGTATGCCACCACCCTTGGCTTATTGGTTGAGATGGAGTCTCATGAACTTTTTGCCCAACTGGCTTGGAACTTCAGCCCTCCCCCTGTTAGGATTACAGATGTGCAACAATGGAAGAGTTTTTTTTTCAGCCAGGAATTGCTTCGGTCCAGGTTGTGTTAGGAAGGATCCAACGTTTCACATCTGGAAGGGGCTGTGTTTTTAGATCAAAGATGCATTTGCAGAGGTGATTTCTAAGCCAAATCTGAAGGATGTCAGAGGTCAGCCCTGGGGATAATTGGGAAGCATTTTAGGCAGCGTGTGGAATAGGGAGTGCAGAGGCCTGAGGATCAAACAAGACAGTCCATGCAGAGGGCTCAGAATGCTTAATGAGTGCATGCTTAATGAATGCATGCTTAATGAGTGCATATTCAATGAGCACAGCTGTCCTCATCTTTGTCAGGGTGACGTTTGTATTGTAGTTTAGACCTGGTGCCCTGGAGATAGCCAGACTCACTTGAAGTCTTGCTACAGAGTTGTAAACAATGGCTCTTCCTTTGGGTTTGTTTTGCTTCTTCATGTTGTTTTGAGACAGCTTGGCCCGGAACTCACTGTGCAATCCAGACTGGCCTCAAACTCTTTAGCCTTGGTCTCCCGAGTGCTGGGATTGCAGGCATGCACCACCACGTGTGATCTCCTTAGCTGTTCTGTGCCTCGATTTCCTAGTCTTTGGCAGGACATTAAAAATA